AATAGACTACAGCAGCAAATGGGAAGTTACAGATGTGGCGTGAAAAAACATCATCATATACGGATTGCTGGGATACAGAATTACCAGGGATAATCATGTAGGGCGAGAAAGTGAAAGAACTTTTATTTTCAATACTATAGCTCCATTTGATAACAATAAACTGTAAGTTCCAGGTGGCTGGGGGGAGAGGGGCTTTAAAAGATGGAAGATGACAGCAGGTGAGTATATGCACAAAGTCAAATGAGAGTAAGATTTCCCAAAAAATGGCTAAGCTGGGAATTTTAGGTACTTTAAAAAAAAATCAACCAAAACAAATAGGCATTCTTTCTAAGTTCCAAAGATCGGATCAGTATCTTTCCAGTAAATTCCCTTTCTGCCTAAGGTAGCAACAAAAGCATCTTACTGATAATGATCTTCATGTAGAGGGGTTTGCACATATCAGACAAGTTCAGAAAAGGAATGTTTACTTAACTCCTTCAAAACACTGAAGTATTATTTGACTTGAAGTGATAAGAAAAATCTCAAGAAGGAATGTTATGCATGTTGGCTATTCCCTTTGCATCTCAATTCTTCCTTTCACAAAAGTCAACCGAGAGAAAGGAAGCACAAAGGCAGGCTGGCATGAGTGTCAGCAAGGTTGTTCAGAGGACAAGCAGGATTCTCTACACCTGCCTGTGACCTCATCATAACACATGTGCTGGTGTGGAAAGAGTCCCCCAGCTTAAAATAACAAATGCTGCAGCAGCCTTAAGATTCTCTGACTAATTTCCTACTACAGTGGTTTCTCGAAACAGAAAATGACCCATTTGGAGGCCACTTAATATAAATTATTAAGCTCTCTCTCAGATGAACTAATTTATTTGGATGAAGAATTCTGAGAGTACCTTTTTTCTTATAATGCGGTATTTAACTTTCTGCAGAAACAAGTGTTAACAATATAATTATAAAATTTCAAAACACAGCAACATACTATTCCTCAACACAAGAGATCAAATTAAGGCATATTAATATCAGTTGTCAGTCACTATACATACACTAAAATGTTTTTAAAAACATTACATTGTAGTAGGCCTCAACATTAAGAAACATACTAAATAGGATATTCACAAGGCCAACAGACACATGAAAAAATATATAGCATCACTTATAGCAAGGGAGATGTAAGTCAAAACCACGACGAGATAATATCTCACATCAATGAGAACTACACTTTTTTTTTCTTCAGGAATTTTCTTTTTCATATAATTTGTTTATTTATTTATATCTTTTACATCATTGTGTATTCCCTGTAAACTTGCCACCTTTGAACCATCACTATGATCCCTTGTGCTCTTTTCTCCCATTCTGATCCCTTTTCTTCCGCATCCTTTGCAGAATGTCTCTTATTTATAGTGGCCTCTAGTTTTGTTTTATTATTATTATTGTTGTTATTTTTTCTTATTTATTTCCCCTTTACTCCTCCTATTAAGTGAAGCCACTTGATATTTTTCTTTTTATTTATTTATTTCACTAAGCACTTTTAGCTCCAACCATATTGCTACGGATGGCATGAGTTTGTCTTCTCTGATTGCTGAATAGTATTCCATTGTGTATATATACCACAACTGCTTGATATAGTCATCTATTTTGGAGCATTTGGGTTGTTTCCATATCTTACCTATTATGAACAGTGCTACAATAAGCAAAGGAGTGCAGGTATCTTTTTGAAGTAATGTTTTTGTGTCCTTAGTGTAGATTCCTAGGAATGGAATTGCTGGGTCATATGGTAGCTCCATTTTTTAGTGGTCTGAGGAACTTCCACACAGTTTTCCATACTGGTTGGACCAATTTGCACTCCCACCAGCAGTATAAAAGAGTTCCTGTTTCTCTACATCCTCGCCAACATTTGTTGTTGTTGGCTTTTTTAATATATATGACTGTGAATCACACACATAAAAAAGACCCCCAACAACAAACGCTGGCAAGGATACAGAGAAAAAAGAATCCTATTACATTGCCGGTAAGAATATAAACAGCCTTTTTGGAAAGTGATCTGAACTTACCGGATCACTTTATGGGTATTTAAAACCAAGATTCCCACTCTTGGGCATCTACCCCAAAGATATGGAAACAACATTAAGTTTCCACTAATAGAGGACTGGATCAAGGTGATTTGATAATTCTATACAATGGAGTACTATCCAGTCATAAGGAAAAGTGAAAAGTTGCCATTTACAGCAAAATAGAAAAATTTCAAGAGCATTATGCCCAGTTAATCAGAATGACAAAGACAAACATTGGACATCAATATGGTGGACAATTTGACAAAGCAAAATACTTATAAAAACTAGCAGACATGAATAAACAAAGTATGTGGTTTCCCAGTTTACAAAGGAAAGGTGAGGTAAAGGGGTATAAAGAAAGGGAATGGGGAGAAAAAAGAAGCATGCAGAATCACTTTATTGGCTTCAAGTGGAAGCACTTTGGGAATGTAGAATACAGAATATCAATAAGAAAGGATGAAATTATTTTTGTGTAAAAGAAGGGAAAATAAAAGGTAAATAATAGAATATCATACTCTAAATTATTGGAGGGAAAAAGGAAAAGAGCTCCCCTAGCTTTTATTAGGTATAATTTTCTTATGCAGCATGCATAGGAATGGTTAGCATGCAATAGATTAAGTCACCTTATCAATTGAAATAGTATGAATTTAATAACAAATGAATGGGGAGGGAAGCTATATTTAACACAGATCTACTCAACAGATGAATGATATCAAAGATATAATTATATTAACATTTCCCAATTTGGAAAAAGATCAAAGGAAATCCCAGGTGATCTCTAGCGTGCCAGACTAAAGTAGATTTGTACCTACCCAACTGCGGATTTGTCCAATGGCTATCCACCTATTTAACCTTCACATATTGACACCCACTGAGTGAGATATAATACTTATTCTATGACTGGCACTTTATCTCATCACACATTAAAATTACTTGCATTAGCTTCGAATGGGACTATGTGCTATTTACCTAAATCTCCCAATAGAACATCTGTCATTCTTCAACTTCTAATCTCAATAAAGTTATAATAAACTATATGTGAGAGGAGGTGACAAGGAACTCTGCTGCAGGATCCCTACCAAATAACAAGGTACGAATATTCAATTATTAATACTATCCTTTAAGAAGAGTTAGAGAACTATGTATTTCTTAGCACTCCTCCTTTTGTTAGGTGTCACCAATCAAACAGCTTTTTGGTGTAAAGCATAAGAAGGATGACATGGTGCCACACTTCAGACAAAATCTTGACTTTAGATAATTGCACATAACTGGGTAAAGTGCTGTTATGAACACAGGCATTAGCTCTCCCTTAAACAGAAGAACAATCTACCTAATATTTTTCTCTCATTAAAAGCATCTTCCTGTTTTTTCCAGTCGTCCAATAACAAAGCAGATGGTGGTCCTACCAAATTGACAGATGAGATTTCCCCATGATTTAAAAAGGCAAAGGAATTAAGTGCTGTACAAAATGAAACTTGTGACTGACCTTGAGAGCCATGTGTCTCAAGATGAGACTTAGAATATAAACTTAGATGGGGCTTAGATGAGAACACATCAGATCTTAAAGACAGAAAATGTAGAAGGACAAATGGAGAAAAAAATCTAGTACAAGAAATATAAGTTCAATACATTTTGTACTTACAAATACAGTAAGCTATACTGTAGCTAAGTACTTCACGAAAGTTATTTTTAATCATCTGATGAAAAACGACCAGAGTTTAATATTTTTGCCAAAAAAGGGTAAGAATATAGGATAAGCAAAGATTTTTGTTCTGGTCAAACTATTGATAATAGGCACAAAAGTTTTCCCAAATGTTCCAGGTTTCCTTTCTGAATCTGAACCTAAACACCCAATTGAAAATTTCCCTCTCTATTCATCCTAAATGAATTATCTTTCCATTCATTAGAATTTATCATAATTTGCATATTTTTGCTTGCTTGTCCAATGACCCAAAAACTACAAACCCCTGAAGGCAAAGACAACTCTTTAAAGCATTTTTTAAAAAAGGAAAGGAAAAGGGGCACAGAGGTTATTATAATCAGTTCACTTTGCTTTTTTAATCATTGTTGACGAATTAGTCACTTGTTGGCAACTTGTGACTCAGAGTATTCCTATACATTTGGCTTAAGAATCTTGGCAGGTTTCTCATTTAAGACCAAAGAAAAGCTCTGAGAAATTAAATGGTAGATAACTTGCTTAAGTCACACACCTAGTAAAGTTAAGCTTCGGTTTATATGAGTATCCAGTTTATCTGAGGTGATGCTGGCACCCACGAAGCTCTTGTTTTCAATTTTCTCTCTCCATACAACCTAAAACCTCCCTTTATCTAGACAGCATGCATTTTTTTTTGCAGTTTACAGAAATCCTACAGATGTAAAAGAAATTATAAACAACAAAACAAGCGCTTTCACATCAATCAAAAATTTGATCCTCAAAACAATCTTACAATAAAGATAAATTCCCATTACGGTGAGACCACTCAAACTACGTTTAAACCTTCACAGCCTCCCTACAAAACTATGAGCTTGGGTTCTTCCAAAAAGAAAGGGACTGCATAAACCTGAAAATTTGAAAGAAACGTTGATCACTGATGCCATTATTTCCTCCCCCCCCCCCCCCCTTTTTTTTTTTTTTTTTAATTATTAGAAGTACGGGACGGAGAAGGGGGAGGGAGGACTTCCATGATTCCTTTCCCCTGCTGCAGTTTAGGTTTGATGAGGGTCTTCACTCACTTTTTGTGCAATTAAAGTGTTGCCCGCCAAACAGATTACAAGATCACACATCCAGGTCAAAGAAAGGGCGTGGGAATATCATTTTAGAAAGGTTTGCAGAGCAGCCAAGACTAACTCTGGGCTGCAGTCCACACACGCCCTCGCCAACTCCTCTCATTTCCTTTTTCCCGTCTATTGAACCATTCCTACCTGGAGTCAGATTTAGTGCAACAGGCAGGTTCCTACCTTGGTCTGAACACTCTTATCAAACTTGTCATTTTTGAAGCTAAACGTATTCTGGTGCTTCTGAGGCCTGGAACGGGCTACGTTCCCTTTCTGGGAGCTCATCGCCGAAACTACAACCTCCTCGCAACAGGATGAGGAAAGAGCCGTGATCTCCACGCTAGAATTTACCTCCAGAGTCGAAGTTACTGTCACTGACCCGGAAGGAATTCACCCAGTTCTCCGCCCACAATTCCCTGAGCCCACGTGACTCCTCCAAGAGGTCAAATGGCAACCTACGTCCCACTGCTCTCTAGGCGCTTCCACGAGGCCCAACCTCGACTCCCTCCCTCTCCGCGCAGCCTCCCAGTCCCAAGCCGGGAGTAGAAATCCCTCTTTCTTCGAAGCGAGAATTCCCCCCCCACCCCCATTGGTCCCAACGTGGCAGTCCATCAAGACAGAGAGCCAGAGAACCTTTCATTCTATTGGCTCTCCTTTTCCGCAATCCCCGCCTCCTGCCGACTAAGCTCAGCCTCTCGCGACGCCCGATTCCTCTGGGTCTTTTGTGATTGGTGGAAGTCAGGCTAAACTGGCTGCGTCCCTCCCCTCTCCTGGCTCGCAGGCTGGATCCCGGGCCAGCTTTGGCACCTTCCTCCAGTCAGTGACCAACTCCTATCCTAGTGAGGTCTCTGCTCACCCTTGGGGTTCCCTTCCAGCCTCCCTCCCGCCACTACTGTGAGCCTCAGGGCTGGCAAGCTGAGGAGGAGCGACGAAAGGAGGGTTAAAGTGAAGAAAGATCTGGCTGGGTCCGGGTGGTGTCTGCAGTGCCAGAAAAGGAGGTGGCGGCGGCGGCGGCGACCACGGCCGCGCGGGACGTGAGGCCCGAGAGCAGCCGACGGCGGCGGTGGCGGCTGCCTCTCCAGCTCCTCGCGCCGGGGCCGTTAGTCAGCAGATCGCGAGTTCGTGTGGAGGAGCAGGGCCGGCGCGAGGAGAGCGTCGGGAGCGCGAGCCGGCCGCCTCGGGCGCCGCCGTCCTTCCTAGTCCCGGCGCCGGGGGCCCCAGCCCTCGTCCCCCCCTCAGCCCGGCCCGCCGCAGGCGGGGAGAGTCCGGCGGCGGCAGCGGTTGTAAGGATCGAGCCTCGTCGTAGACGTCGCGTCAGCAGAGGTTCTCTACCAGTTTTTTCTACCTGACGCCTCGGCTGCGGCCCCTCTGGTGCAGGTGCGTGGGTTCGCTGGGAGTCGGGGCGCCGCGGCAGGAACGGGGAGGGGGCGCTAGGCCGGGAGTCACGGCGCGGGAGGGACGGCCGGGCCGGACTGGGGGAGGGGAGCGGGAGGCGTCTTTGTTGTTGGCGACCGGGATCCCTCTCCGCTCCCGGGAAAGGCTGGGAAGCCACTCCGGATCGGGTCGGTGTTAAGAGCTGATTCTCAGGTGTTGGGGTGAAGGGAGAAGTAGGTGGGTTCCCTAGGGTCGTGAGGCTCCGGAGTCTGGGGGTGGGGGAGGGATAGGCTGGCGAGGTCTTGAATCTCTCCTTGCAAAGGAGGGTCTCATTTCACTTCCTTTGCTTTTTTTAGTGGACAAAAAGATGAGGTTAGGCTCACATCTCCTTCTTTGACTCACTGAGGTTCGCGGTGCCTGAAAGCTTTCTCCTGAATGTCCTCGTGTGGCAGCTTCATTGTAGCTCGAATCTGCACGGTGCTCCATCATTGGTAGTGTTCGGGTCTGACCGTCGTAGGGTTAATCTTACCTGTTTTAGAATTACAGGGTAGGCGCATCAGTAGTCCTTTTTGCATTGGAAAATTAGAGGGTTTGTTTTAACCCTGAAACGAGTCTTGTCGAGTCAGACTGTACTGTTGTGCAGGGCTTTTGTAAAGAAGCGATTGTTTAACCCCGACGTCGTGTTTAAAAAAAAAAATTTTTTTTTTGTTTAAAGCTTGATCTGTGATAAGGTTTTTGTCAACCCCAGGGCATGTATCTATCTATCTATATTTTTTCAAACTATGTTTAAGGTATATGGTGGATTTGGTAAAACAAACGATGACTAACGGAACACAGAGGGGATGACCTTTAAATTTGGCTTAGTTTATGAAGAGCTACTGCAGTTTTTTACTTTCTGCTATATGTAATTATTGATCCACAAGGTGACTTATTGAATATTTAAAGGTTCCAATAAATGTGATTTTAGAGATACTGTATCAGCTACCTAATGAGCCTGAGTGAGAAATCAGGTACATGTTGTAATAGCATGCATCTGTTTACATTAGCAGGAAAACTTACAATAAAAGATGCTTTTTTCTCCATGAAGAGTTTGTCTTTTCATATGTTTATAACATAAGTTTCTTTGGGTGACATACTATTGACATAGCTAATACCTTGATGATTATCATAATGGCCAGTGTTCTTATTTGGGACTGACCAACTCTTTGCTTGTTGGTAAATTTTTAGAGTTGTGGCATACTTAAGGGAAAATAATGGAGATAGCCACTGTTAGAAGAGAAATAAAATCCCTGTTTTGTAATAATTGCTATGTTGAGATCCAGGAGGATATGGCTAGAACCCTCACCCATATTTTGACCTCTCTTTTTTCCTCCTCTTGTATTAACAAGGTTAATTGGCAAGGATAGGATTAGATTTTGAGCAGGCAAGGCAGTTTTAATTTTGTCCCTTGCTGTGCAGTACTGTAGTTAAGTGACTTGAGTATCTCTGCCTATTTTGAAATGTGCATGAAGTGACATGTGACAAAGAATTTTCTATTTCCTGTGACAAACAAAATTATCATAAAACCTCATGGCAAAATAATGTTTTTGGTAGCTTAATGAACACAGAAGAACTAGGCAATTAGTGTCTGTTCCAAGTTCTGTCACTGCATTGGTTTACAACTCCAGGCAAGCTATCCCACATCTGAGTCAGTTTCTCCATCTGTAATATAGGGCTAATAAAATGTGCCACCTGCTCGCTTTACAGAAAGGGCACTGAGAACAACAGTTAACAATGCTTATGAGACATTGTTTTAGTTAAATGCAAGTACTTTGTAGTGCACTTCTTGTTTTGGTGTTAAGGAATCTCAATTTGATAAAGAATTGCTAAAGAAACAGTTTTATTGGGAGTATGCCTACTGGTAGACTACCATTTATAGGAGTTGATAAGCTCCGAGTTTCTTCCACTTTCAGATTGATGTTAAATCTTTAGAACCTGTGATTACATTCATAAAAAGTAACAAATTACACTGGTTGATTTATTTAATGAGGCTTTTTTTTTTAAGATTTATTTTATTTATTTATGCACACAAGAAATGGGGTACAGGCCAGAGGTGCAGGGGGAGGGGTGAGAGGACTCACCAGAGACAGTGTGGGGAGTAGAACAGGTGGATCTACTGAAATACACTGCAGAGGGGAGCAGCAGATGAGACAGAGATCTGCTCTGCCATGTGGCTTAACTGGGTCTTCTGTGCCATGTGGGTTAGCCCTGGCGGGGGTGAAACTCATGCTGCAGTGGCTGACTATACTCCTTAGCACTGAGACTTAGCCCTTGCACCACCAGGGAGGCCCGTGGCAGCTCTTTCTTTTAAATATCCAAGGTTTTGCTCTTAACTCTCAGAAATCACCTATCTTCATTGTTTATAATTTCTACATATACTCCTTACCTCTCAAACCTAGCCTTGTGAATTGGAGAGGGAAAATAACATTTTATGACTTTTTATGGATGAAATCAAACCCAGAAAAGTTAACTATTGAATTGCATAAAACTACACAATTTGCAGAACTGAGAATTAGGTCTTCTAATGTTCAATCTTCAACCCCTTGCTTTCAGGGTTTTCTGAATGCCTGTGTGTGCCCAGTGGTTTTACCATTTCAGATGAAATGAGAAATAATATAGTATTATAGGATGGCAACATACAATAAAGTGAATACCTTTGGATGCATTAGACCATGTGAGAAAATAAAACTACAAAGCAAAACGAAGATTCCTCTCTATTTTGTACCCCTCTCAAGTCCTACTCTTCACTCTCCCGAGGATTAATTGGAAATTGACTTACATCCTTCCTATCATTGTTTTTATGCTTTACTGCTTACTTTTATATCCATGAACACTATAGTTTTTACTTTGATTAGGATTGTTTAAATATGATGTTTATATCTAGTTTGCTTTCTTCACTCAACTTGCCAAGTTTTATCTATGTTTATTCAGGTAGCTATAGTTTATTTTTACTCTTATAAGGCATGTGTTCCATTATATGATTATTATCAGTTTTCAGTTGATCATTTTAGTTGTTTGTAATTGTTTGCTTATTAAGCAGTATTGTAAAGATATATATATATATATATATGTATATATATATATACCGAAATAATAAACTTTTCAGTAAAGTTTGAACAAAAATAACAGTGCAGGCTTTTCTACATTGTGTTTACCTTCAAGATCTTTATCTTAAAACAATACAAATATACTTTAAGTTCTTTTTAGAGATATCTGGCCTTATTTCCCTGCCCACATCCTACTTATTCCCCAAAATGAATGTCCAGCAGAATATTCAAAAGTCATGGGGACATAGGGCAGAATTATCTTTTTGTACCAAGAATGCTTGTTATCTGTTGCCTAGTCCTCTTCCTCCCCTTCCAGTCGGTTATAACAACTAACACATAATCAAAGAAAAATTTCTCACTGGTATATAGATCTAATAATAGATTGCTGAAACAAAGGATTTGAGCTGCTTCAATTTTATCAGATAGCTAGCATTTTTCTTTCAAACTATGTGTATCAGTCAAAAAACAGGTTTTATTTTCTCCCTTTCCAAATATTTTAAACTTTTTTTTAAGTTTTGCTGAGGAGTATGAAATGATGTGTTGAGGTATTTTCATTTGCAACTCCCCGATTAATGCTGTGGTTAAGAACACTTTAATTTTGGGGCCTTCCCTGGTGGCGCAGTGGGTTAAAGCACAGCACTGAAGAAGCTAAAGCCACTTCCACATGAGTTCGATTCCCGCCTGCCCGCTCTGACCTATATCCCAGTACTTGAATGCATAAATAAATAAATCTTTAAAAAAAAAACTGGTAAGAGTTACTATAATAGGGTATATAGAGTTAGTGTAATAAAAAAGGTAGAGATGGATAAGGGGAATTCAAAGGAGGTATTTGAATGTTACACAGGGTGGTTAGGGTATGCCTCAATGAGAAAGCAGGA